TAACATATAAAAAAATGAACAAAATCTAAGCACCCCCATGGCACAACTTATGTCGTGGCTTACGTGCAGTGACTCATATTTTAATAAATTTTTCTACGCCTTTGTAGACATCAAAGGATTTTATCAAAATAAAAGAAAGAAATTATAGGTCAAATCTAACCTCAGGTTATTGTGTTTTTTACGATTTGTCATATTTGCTGCGAATAATTCTTTTTCAAAAGCGAGGTTAACATTGAGCTTTTCTGCACTCTATATGGACATGCACACAAATGAATAAGAGTTAATATAAAAAATACGTAATACTTAGAAAAGAAAATTCAAATTACAACTATGAATTCGATATAAATGCTTTTAGGTGTCTTTTTTTGGCTGTCGAGAGAAAAAGTTTCGAATTTTTCGAATCGGAGTCGAAAAAACTGAATTTTTAGCTTGCTGACTCATCAATTCTGGTCTAGTTTGAGCCATTGCGCCTAAAGTCGAAGTAGACGGTTGAATCGAACGGCCCATTTGAGGCTTTGGGTCTGATCTGTAGTTTCTTGATACTACTCCTCTTGTTCTCGGTAGGTTTCCACTAGCAATTTCCTGGAGTCGTTGTATAAGATCAGGCATTCTGTTTTTCACATAATCAGGTTGAACATTTTCCCATTTAAAACACGGAATACTCGCGATAACCAATGCAAGCCAACTGCTTGGTTGCCAATCAGATTTATACATTATGGGAATTATTTTTTTTCCGCATCTTTGTGCAAAACATAGCTCTGAGCGGCATGCACTAGAATTTTGATAAGCAGCCGTTGGAAAGCAAATGAAAACCCAGGTTTTTTCTATGGCATCTGCTATACTAAAATAAAAAAATAAGTCAATGAACAAGGCATATGATTTATTATTGATAATAAATACTTTGTTTCTTCATGATCATCTATCATGGCATCCGTCCATACGTTTCCTCCGGCGTTTGCCAAAGTATTTGCAACTATATTGATCAAATCTTTATCGTCGTTTTCATACGATAGAAAAATATATTGATTGGAGGGGCCCAATGTTCTAAAATATAAAACACAGATCTTTATTCAAGTATATTACTAATATTCTTTATTGATTTCCTATTAAAGTTCATAATGAAATATTCTTTCTCTGATTCAAGTTACATTTGATACAATATTATCAAACCAACAGAATATATTAATGAGGCACTTAGATTTTTATATCATGTCTATAAGTTTTTCATGTTCACAAATAATCAAACAGTTTATTCGATAAATGGAGTTGTAAAAGTAGTAAATCCAGAAGAAATATGGATAATGTGTTTACGATAAATTAGCGACTTTACAAAATATATTCAATGCATCTGAAGTTTTCTCCAATTCGAGATCTCATAGTTGCTATTCATTTATGCAACTTTGAGGTTCATCTTTAGTCTTTCATTCATTCTACTTTATTGTATTCAGGTTATATGGAAT